TGTCCTGGCTCCTATAGGTAACTTCTAAACACTTGGGAATTCCCATGTGATAGGAGTGTCTTTGTTATTCATAGAGCGCTCCTTGGACTACACCTGATAGTTTACCTTAATGAGATAACTCATGGTGGATGAACACACTAGATGGGTTCTCTGTGTGGGCTGGCCACACCAGAAAGACCAACCATGTGGTGGGAGGTGGGAGCTAGAGATTCAATTGAACCACAATTTAATCAATCATACGATATAATAAAGCCCCAATAAAAACTCTGGACACCATGCTTGGGTGAGCTTCCTGGATTGATAATATGCATGGCATATTGTTGGCAATATTCTGTGTACATTATTACACTTTGATGTCAAGAGGGTAATGCATCCTGAGGACAATGGAAGCTTCTAGGTTGGAACCCTGTGGAGCCCTCCCAGACTATGCCTATGTATCTTTGGCTGATCTTAATGTACCTTTTCCTATAATATATGTAACTGTGAGTCTAATAGGTTTCAACGAGTTCTGTGAGTCTTTCCAGGGAGTTATCCAACCTGAAGGTGGCTTTGAGAAACCCCTGCTTGTGTACTGTTGTTGGGAATGTAAGTTGGTGCAGCCACTATGGAAAACAGCATGGAAGTTCCTCAAAAAATTAAAAATAGAATTACCATATGATCCAGCAATTTCACCTCGGGGTATATATCTGAAAGAAATTAAATTACTATTTTGAAGAGATATCTGCACCTCCCATGTTCACTGCAGCATTATTTACAATAGCCAAGACATGGAAATAACCTAAGTGTCCATCTATGGATGAACAGATAAATAAATAAATAAATATATATATATAAATATATATATATATATATATGAAATGATCATATGTATACAGTAGTTCCCCCCTTATCTGTGAAAAGTGAAACCGCAGATAAAGAGGACTATAGTATACATAACGAAATATTACGCAGCCATAAAAAAAAATCCTGCCATTTATGACAACATGGATGGACTCTGAGGGCATTATGCTAAGTGAAAAAAGTCAGACAGAGAAAGACTAGTACTGTATGATCTCACTTTTATGTGGAATCTTAAAAAAAAAACACAAAAAAAAACCTCATAGAGAAAGAGATCAGATTTGTGGTTACCAGAGGTGGGGGTAAGGGGTGGGGGGATTGGGTGAAGGTGGTCAAAAGATTAAAAAATTCAAGTTATAAGATGAAGAAGACCTGGGAATATAATGTACAACATGATTACTATAGTTAACCCTACTGTATGGTACATTAAGAGAGTAAATCCTAAAGTTCTCATCACAAGAAAAAATTTTTTTTTCTTTTGTAACTATATGAGGTGATGGATTTTAACTAAACTTATTGTAGTAATAATTTCACAATATATGTTTGTCAAGTCATTGTACTGTACACCTTACACTTATATAGTACTGTATGTCAAATATATCTCAATAAAACTGAATTTAAAAAAAGAAACCCCTGCATTGGTAGTTGGTGTCAGAATTCTTGGGCAGACTTGGCAGTCTGGAGTTTGGCTAACTCCATTTGGGTCCCTAATGTTCATTTTGTCCTGGCTAATTGTTCTGTTGTCGAAGACTGAGTTGCTCTTGAGGTACAGCTATCCCCTGCTTTTGTGCCCTGCATGTCACAGAATTTGCAGAGGTGAGAACCCCCATAGCTAGGGTCTATGTCCATTTTGCACTAACCCCTTTGAGCGTTGCTGCCTCCCTGAGATTCCACCAAATCACTGCCCCCTATATCTCCTTACCATCAAAAGTATTCGTAGTAACACTGTTCATTATGGTCCCAAACTGGAAAGAATCCAAATGTCCATCAAAAGTAGAATGGATAAGGGGCGGCCGATTAGCTCAAGTGGTTAGAGCGCAGTGCTCATAACACCAAGGTTGCCAGTTAGATCCCCGCATGGGCAACTGAGAGGCACCCTCCACAACTAGATTGAAACAACTACTTGACTTGGAGCTGATGGGTCCCGGAAAAACACACTGTTCCCCAATTAAAAAACAAAAAAGTAGAATGGATAAGTATAGTCATGCAATGGGATATTATACAGCACCAAGAATGAACGAACTAAATGGTACACAGCAACATGGATGAAGCTCACAAACTTAATCTTGAATGAAGGAAGCTAAAAACAAGAGTACAAACTGTATGTTTCCACTGATATAAATTTTTAAAACAGCTAAAACTAATGGGAAATATTTTAAATAAGGATAATCGTTGAAGAGTAACAGAATATGACATCCCAAAATATGCCTCTTTGGCATAAGAATTATTTTGAGGTGGCATATTTTTGAGGAAAAGTGGACACAACAGGAGCTCTAAAAACAATGTAGAAATTTACCCTTTTGTGAGGGAAATTTACGCATATAAGGTTCATCTCCATTTGTAAGGGCGTCTGTCTCCTTCGCTCTCCCAAAAAGAGAACAGGTGACTCTAAATCACAAGAAACTCTAATCTATGGAGAAGGTGAGAATTTAAATTTGCAAAACAATCTGTGTTTTCCTGATAATGTCCCATAAATGAATTCCCTGCCCCAGCCCAACATCTTCCTTTGTCTTTAGCTGAAGATGGTATTTAAGTGGGTGTCTCCGGTCATTTCAGTTTTACTCATATTTCATGGGTATCTCTCATGTATACAGGATTATTAAAATTGATATTTTTCCCCTCCCATTAATATGTCTTTTATTACAGGGCATCTCAGCCAAGAGCTCAGAAGGATAGAGGGAAAATTATTTTTCCTCTCTTACATGGTTATTTAATGGGGTCATGACTGAAAGGATGTAGAAGGAAGCTTCTGGAATTCTGGAAATATTCTCTTTCTTGATCTGGGTACTAGTTACGTGTATGTTCACTTGGTGAAATTTTGTAGCGCTACACATTTAGGATTTGCACATTATATATGTTATATGTCAATGAAAAATTTAACATGAATATGGTATCCTGCTCTTTTTTTGCCCTTAGGTACAATTCTCTTCAGTGAACTCAAGATTTAGAAAAAAATTCCAGGATGGGAAGTGTTTGTACATGGCTTTCTCCCAAGGGTGACCAACTTGTCCCAGTGTGCCCAGGACTCTCTCCCAGTTCTTTGTACTGAAAGGTTCGTGTGCCAGGAACTCTCCCTCCCCAAGTCCTGGGTAAAACTGGGACAGTTGGTCACCTTTCTGCCTACAAATATAATATAAATTTGGGAAAGAGCACAATATTTATTGACTAACTTTCTGGAATGGGGGAGGGGGGAGAACATACATTATGCCCTTGTTAAACAAAAAACTTCTACGGCTAAAAGTCTTTTTAAAAGAAACGGTTTATTAGGCCATTGTAAGCAAAAAAAAATGAAGACTGGTTTCCACCAGCTAGTTAGGAAAGGCAAACATGTCCATCATCCTGTAGTTTTTGCAAGCATTTTTATACATCAAGTAGGGAGGAGAAAGATGGAAGCTGTTCTGGAAGGATCTACATTAGCTATAGACAAAGGATGGGCTACTTCTGCGAGAGGCACAGCAGAGTCCTTAAAGCTCAAGAAGTGGTTCAAAGGCGCCTGGCTATTCTCTTTTTAGATAATGTCGGAAATAGCTACATGGGAGTTCATTTAACAATTCCAACATACACGAAGGAGTGTGAGCAGTCTTTTATTGGTTTTGCACTGCAGTTAACTGATAACCCCTTTCTGTCCCTTCCTCCACCCTCTGGCCTGTTGTCATTTCATTTAGGACATCACAGAATTTTCTCCTTGTCACCCTCAAAAAAACGTCGCACCGCTATACTTAGTTTACTCATCATCATAATCAACAAAAGATCTCTCTGTTTGGGAAATCAAAGACACTATATCACTTTAAAAGTCAGACTCTCCATTAACCTAAAAGCTCAAGTCACATGTGCACACACACACAGAAACCATCTGAACCTAGATCCAGAGGGAGATATTCAGTTGGAAAGTTTACTTTTAAAAAGGTCAAGTTATTCTCCCTGAAGTTCCTGTAGACAAGTGATTTGAGAGATAGAGGCCCCTAGAGATCTAAAGGAAATGCTATTATAATGCAACTAAACCTTCCTGCAACCCAGCTGTGACATTTGATACCAGAGAGAATATGACTGAAAATACACAGCACCACTCTGGCTTTTCTCAAATGAAAAGGAAATTGTCAGAGACAACTGTAACTCGCAAGGACAAAACCCAACACATGTGAATTTCCATTTACAGTGCAAAGGATGAGGATAGTGGGGACAAATGGTGGGGTGGGCTACAGAATAGCTACCGAACAGAAATATTGAGTTCAGCTTCGGCCAAACAGTACCAAAACGGGAAGCCAGAGAACAGAGGACCTTGTTTATTTTTATTTTATTTTTTTTAAGTCTTTTTTTTTTTNCGGCAGCCCAGCTCCAGGTTGAGCTGTTGTTCAGCATCTTAGCTGTGGAGGGCAGTGTCACTGGCCCTCATATGTGGGATCCGAACCAGGGCCCTCTGGGGTCCCAAGCCAGTTCTTAAACATCGCGCCACTCGGCCGGCCCCTTAAATTCTGTTTTGAATCTCCATTCTTACTGCGCAAATGCTTTCAATCATTATTGGGATAACTCCCCTCTCACTGCTTCATCAGAATCTAAGAGTCTTATAGAGAAAAGGGGAAAGGGCCCCTACATACTAAGAAATGTGGCCTTGTTAAAAGAGTGGTCTGGGAGGGTAACCTGGCTTCGAGCGGGAGAAACCATTGTCTCCACCCGCTTGGAGAAGATGTTCCTGGCTCTGGGGCCGGGATGGTAGGAGAGACTCCACTCCTGCCTCAGTTCCCCCTCTATTATCTTGGCTTCCAGTGGGCCAAACCCAGTTCACGACCTGTTCTGAGTGGCTGAAGGCCCCTGGGGAGCTGAATTGCGGCTTTCATCTGGGCGCCGATCGACCCCTCACAGACGCTTCACTTCTGAGGATCCTTGGCCTTGGGACTGGAGAGACTCGGCCCGTGTCCCTAGGACTTCACACCATTCCCAGCACCATGAACACACGCAGCTCCACTGCAAAAAGACTGAGGGAGGAGTCCCAGAAATCACAGGAGAACTATAAGGCCTTCGATGACCTTTCCACTTACTTTTCTAAGGAAGAGTGGGCAAAGCTGGGAGACTCACAGAAAAAAACCTACATGTACATAAAAAAGATGTATGACACCAGGATTTGTCTAGGTCTCCATACCATCTTGCCGTCTTTCATGCATCCTTGTAATTGGACCACAAAATCGCCTGAGAGTGAGTCCGATGAAGATCAGAACCCCTGGAATCAGGATGAAGGTCCTCAGGAGGCTTCCAATGTGCAACAGAGAGAACACGTGAAGGAGATGCCCATGAAGGCGGCAAGGGAAGAAAATGATACGAAGCCACTGCCAGTAACACCTGGCTTGGAGCCGGCTCAGAAAGAACTGTGTCCCCCAGGAAAAGCGAGCACTTCTGGTCAGGAGAGTGAGAAGATGTCGGGACACAGCAAAGTGAAGTGTAGTGTCTGGGCCGACAGGCTGCGGGAGAGAAAGATGTGAGTTGTGTATGAAGAGATCAGTGACCCCATGGAAGATGACTAAATCCGGATGTGAACAGTGCCCATGATACGAAGCAGAACCTGGTGGCCTTTCCTGAACGTGGGCAAGACTGTTACTCCTGGCCATCAGGCGTAGTGAAAGGGAGTGAAAGGAAGAGGTCAGAACGGTGAAACGCTAAGCACGATGCATCTTACTGTGTGCCTAATAGTCTATTCGGTGTTACAATTTCGTTGATGAGTAACACATGTCGCTAAGGCCTATTTTTGTCAATGTGTCCATGCACTTACCTCAGGAAACTAGTACTTTCAGGTATCTCTACACAGAAGAGCACTACTTTCCATCTTCCCAGATGAGACTCCTCAGGGTAGTTCTGGGGTTTTATAACAGACGTTTTTCTGTCTGCACTTCTGGACGCACTCTCTCTCTCTCTCTCTCTCTCTCTCTCTCTCTCACACACACACACACACACACACACACACACACACACACACACTTTGAAAATCTCTAACCTGTATTTTCCCATTG